AAGATATTGATCACAGCAAGAAACTCTTAGGGGGAAGTAGTCTAGGAAGGAATTCAATGGTGATTATTCTGGAATGTTAACTCCAAAATGTATTTTAACATACTATGATCTTTTCCTTATTGAAGATTCCTATAAATGTAATCTGAAATTTTCTTGAGGAAGAGAGTCATGTTGGAAAGCATAGTAGTCCATGCCAATTTAGAAATCTCTCTCTCCCAGAGAGAGCTAGAAGTGGGTTGAATGTTTATTTAATAAAATTGTTTCTTGCAGACTTGAGCCTAAATCACAGAGTACATTATTAGTATTAATTTTTTTCTGATACTGTGAATATTTTGATACATAATCTTTCTCTTATTTTATTGCTGGGGATTTTTTGTATGATTTCCTGAAATACCACGTTAAGATTCAAAAGATCAATGATTTAGAACTGGGAGTAGACTATGTGGCACTTGAAGACCAGCCTCATTATTAGGTTTGCTGCAGGGAAAAATTCTCAGCTACAGCAGTTAAAAAAACAAACAAACAAACAAACCCAAAACTCTACTAAGGAATATAGAGAATGCAGTTTATGTTACTGGGGAAAGCACCTACACAGGTAAAAAAAACTGAATTTTAAAGCATCAATAGGAAAACTATGATAGAACAGAAGAGTCAGTGTCACTCTACATAGCTGGCTGTGGTTTAAAAAAAGTTCTACATACTATAGAACAAAGTATATTGGTGTAAAGGAAGGGTAAATATCACAAAAGTGCAAGTGGGCTAAACTTGGAGCTATCTATGAAGTTGAAGAATGAAAAAGAAAGCAATGAAAAGTGGAAATCAATCCTTATCATTAGAGAAGTGTGGCTGTGTGAGAACAAGAGAGCGGTGCAGAAGCTAGAAAAGAAAGGCAATGGACAAAAGAAAAAAAAACCCCAAAACCCAACAACAATGACCAAACTTCTGTCCTCCATATTTACATTTACATTTTCAGGCAAAGAGGTCTAGAGAAAATTTCACACTCACCTACATTTCCTAAATTGTCAGGAAAAAAGTAACAAGTGAGGGCAGTAAAAATGCAAAAACTTTTAATGTCATCACCTTTATCTTTTCAGAAAATATCTTAAGTTTTACTGTTGTCTTTAGGGAGATCCAGCTGTGGTGAGAGGACAGAAATAAAAATCCAAGTTGAGAATAACTATATGTATTGAAATTGGTGGGGTTTGCTTATGTGCTCAAAGAATTGATAGATGTTATTATAGATTGATTAACCATTAGTTTTGAGAAATCATGAGGACAGGAATTTCTGAGGACTGGAACAGGGCAAATGTTGCATCCATATGAATCAAAGGAAGAAAAAGACTAATTTTAGAGATTTCACATTCCTCCCAATTCTAGGTTTCTATTCAATTACAAACTGGGAACATACCTTAATGTGTTTCTCAACAACCAGTTTGCAATCACCTGAAAGGGTAATTTTGTCAGACCAATTTTACTTTCTTTGGTAATAGAGTGACAGGTCATAAAGATAAGGGTAAGCAATTGGTGTAACTTATCTATACAGCATGGTCCAAAACCCTCAGGTTTGATTTCACACGGATAGAGATTTCTCATAAATCCCTCTTTGGCTTGTAACCTCCTCCTCACCCCAATCCCCAACAAGTTTTCTTCTTAGAGCCTCAGAATTTGGCCTGTTTTGTCCTTACCAGGATCTCCCTAAGGATATCAGAATACAACTTATATGTAGGTTTCCATAGATGTAGGTAAAGAGCTCTTGGCTCTCATAAAAGTGTTCCAACTATCAAGATAATAGGAATATCTTTATTTTACCTCACAAAAAAAAAAAGAATGCAGAATCATGAAGGATTCATAGGAGCCTATAAACAGTCAAGGATAACTCTCCTTGATTCTGTCACTGGAGCCAAGTCAAGCCTGCTGACCTGACTTCTGAGTCACATTGAGGAAAGGCCAGAGAGCAAAACCAAGTAACTCACTTGCGACTTTCAAGTCCATAAAGGCCTCTTCATATGATCTGCCTTCTTGAAAATAGCAGTGATACCTTCCATTTTCAAAAGCTGTGACATTGTGTATTTTCAGAGCAACATTTCCATCTCTGATATTATCTCTCACAAATGTTGTTCTTCCTCGATATTCTTCCATCTGTTCTTCATCTCTTTCTTTCCCATCTTTATACACGTAAACAGCTGGAAAGAACTGAGAACGGAACCACCTTATCTCCATTCGCTCAGCACTTTTCTTGGGGAAGAGGTGACAATGTAACGTGGCATCTTCCCCTATCGTGGTCAGGGGAGGTTCAGCATGTGCAACTACAGTAAAATGAGCTGTTCAAGAAAGGGAGAGAGTTACAGAGAAGCTAGTGATAGGGAATTGGTGTTAGAGGTGTGTGGGGGATGGAGATTGAATGATATTTCAAGGGAAGAACAAATTCATTCCCATAATATTCTTCCAGCTTCACGGACTTTCTGAAATGAAGGTGGCAATTACCTTCCACTTTTCTCTTGTGGAGAGAAGTGTAGATAGGAAATTATTTTTCCCTCCTGAGAAGTCTTCATGTTGGAAAAGAGAAACACCTACCTGAGATCCTCGTGAGCAGCTGAAGGAAGAGGACAGCTACAAGACCACTTAGCACGGAATGGTCTGGGAAACAGGTCATATTCATAATTTCTAGAGAAGACAATAACAATCATTTTAACTGTGTGTAGAGATCTGTGCTAAGTGCTGAGAAGAGATACAAAATTTACAGTAGATAAGATAATCCTAATTCTGGAAAATATAATCTAGTAGGTGGATGAAATATCAATACATTGCAGCAACACACAAGTGCTTTAGAGAAATACAAAACAAAGTACAGTATTAGGTCTGTAAGGGAAGATCATTAACAACTTTGTAATCAGGGAAGGCTTCTCACTCAGCACTTCTCTACCATGACCCAGAATCTTCATCCTGAACACTCACTCCAACTCTGGAATTCACATCATGGAAGTACTCTCTGTCTTTGTGACCCCTTCCTCTGTTTGAATGGCTTCCTCCTAGGACCTCTATTTAAGGAGGGCACACAGGCCAGCCATGTCTCCATTTCTTAAGGCTGTACTATATTGTACATCTTCATTCCCCTCAACCTCCTTTTAAGCTTCCTTTTATGTGTTGTTAGAACACAAGTTCTTTGAGAGCTGGGACCATTTCTTTTTGCTTGAATTTGTATTCCTAGAGCTGAGCACAGTGGCAGGCACATAGTAAATGCTTAACATATGATTCTTGACTGACTGGCTAAAAGAGGAGGCATTTGAGTTGTTTAAAAGGATGGGTAAGAAGGAATTCATCAGGCCAAGAGTGGAAAGAAGGACCTTCCAAACAAAGGGAACAGCATGAACCACTAGTTCCATCACAGAGACCCTGGTGAAAATAGCCCAGGACCATAAAGATGTATAACGATCTGCTTTGCCGTTACACCCTAAGGACTACAGGACATTTCCATTTGACTTGGAGTTGAAACCTCCTATATAGGTCATTTCCCCCACTAGAATGTGAGTCACTTAAGAGCAAGAATTAGTTTACTTTTTTTATTTGTATCCCCATAGGATGCACTAGGCAAATAAATAATTATTCATGAATACATAAATTTTCATTAATTCATGAGCAAAGACTTATAGGTAGAAAAGTACTAGAAATATCTGAAGGACAGTAAGCAAAAATTTTTTTTGTACTATAGAAGAGAGGTATGAGGTAAGCAAGAAGTCAGAAGACTAAAGACATTATAAATGATAGATGAGAGAGGGGGAAAAAAGGAGGAGGGAAGCCCTTAAGATGGCTATTGTAAAAGTCCAGGCAGTTGGTAACAATAACCAGTAATAGGTTGGTGGCAGTGGGGATTTGAGAGGAGGGGACAAATTTAAGAGATCTTTTAGAGGTGGACTTTACAGAGTTTATAACTGGTTGGATATAAGAAGAAGAGGGAAGACTTAAAGATAACCTAAAGTTATAAACATAGAAGCTTGAGAAAATGGTGGTGTATTAGAGAGAAGCATTGAAAACAGTAGGAGCAGGTTTAGAGCAACAGGATGGACTTGATTTGGGATATGATGAAGTTGAAGTGTCAGAGGAATACCAAGGTGGAACTATTACGTAAGCTCTTAGAGATATGGGTTTGGAGTTCAAAAGAGACTTGAGGGGACATTTGAGCACTGTTCATGAAGTCAGGAGGACCTAAGTGCAAATCTGGCCTCAGATACTTACTAGCTGTGTGACCCTGGGCAAATTACTTAAGCCCATTGCCAGAGAAAAAGAGATAGAGAGACAGAGAAAGAGAGAGACTTGGGAGTCATCTCTATGGAGGAGGCAATTGAAACCATAGGAATGAATGGCCAAGAAAGTATAGAAAGAAGGTCAAGAACAAGCTCTGGGGGAAATCAATCAACAAGCATTTATTAAATGGCTACTCTGTGCCAGATGCTGTGGTAACCCATATTAAAGGATCAAAGAGATACCAGGGTAAGTTAGGCAGGGTCTGGAACCTTAGAAATGTAATAGTGGAGGAAGCTGATGAAAGGTGTCTTCATATGTTAAGACAAGACACATAGTTTAATCCTTCATTTTACTAATTAGGAAACTGAGGGAGGAAATGAGGAAAACAGGGAGGTTAAATGGTTTGCCCAGGTTCACACAAGCAGTAGGTATATAAGAGGAAGGATTTGAATCTTTGTCATCTGTCTTCAGAGACAATACTCTATCCACTATACCACAATGCTTCAGACTTGGTTCCTTTCCCTCTTTAGGGTAGTGAACAAAGGACATGTTAGCAGAAACAGAATGACATTAACCCACAGGTTAATCAATCACAAAAGAAATGGCATTAACCTGGGGATAAATTCTCCTGGATTGCTTTTGACTGGCATATTCAAAAGAGCTTGAGATCTGCTTACCCTAGATTGATACTTTAGGAAAAGATACCATCTTTCTTTGTTTCTGCCTATGTTTATTCTTTTTATGGGAGGCATGACAGCTGTCCTGGGAGTCAGAAAGACCTAAGTGCACTTCCAACCTCTGACATATACTACTTCAGTGGCCCTGGGCAAGTCAATTTACCCCTTAGTGCTCAGCCTTGCTCTAAGACTTAAGATTGTAGAGCAAGCACTGACTTATACACCAGTATTATAGGAAGCTTAGTTGAGGAGGTCCCTCACCAGGGAGCTCCTTAAACAACAATATCACAGGTCCAGATCAAGGAACAAAATAACCAAATAAAAATCCTTTGGGAGGGCAGGAAGCTAAACACTTAAAAAAATGTTTGTTTGATTGTAAACCTGGCAGAGTTCACCTAATCCTGGACAACAAATGTGCTGCTGTATATCCAGGGGTCAGAACAAAGGGAACCCCTGGTGATTTCACAAGGTGGCTTTGATGTTGTGCTTTGATTTGCTACCAACACATCGTTATTAAGAAAAAAACCCCAACCCTGATTTTTTAAACATAACTTTTATTTCTAAAACATCCCTCACCCTCTCCACCCCAGGTTTGTCCTTTGTAACAAAGAAAAAAGGAGATAAAAGCAGTTCATCAAATCTAACCAACACATCAGTAGAGTCTGATAGTATGCAATATTCCACCACTATAGAGTCTCTCACTTTGGTAAGGAAGTTACTAATACCTTATAAGTTTCTGCTGAGCATTAGCTGTGCCTCTATTATTTGTGAAGGGATGTGGGACTGCGGAATTTGAGTACACCCAGAAAGAGTTCTATTTGTGTCAAGTTTCAATGCAAAAGTTTGTATTCATACCCTATCATGAGTAGAGCCACCCCACCTTCCGTGAGAAGAAAATGACAAACAGTTCTAGTATCTTTGTCAAGAAAATCCCAAATGGGGTCACGAAGAGTCGGACACGATTGAAACGACTGAATAACAACAAAACCTTCATTGCTCGCTTTTCCTCATCTTCGGTTGCCTACTTTCTTTTTTATCTGCTCAGTAGGGCAGATAAAGACTAGGTAAGGTAGTACAATCATTAGAAAACGAGGTTAACTTTCCCTTTTTACCCTGCCCCTCTTCTATCTGTTACATGAAGATACTTCTTTTCAGCAGTTAAGGATTCCTCTTCCTCTCCTTCCCTTCTTCTACAATCGTGTTCTGCTCTTGAGTCTACGCTGTGGATTGCCTATACACTCTTTCCCCTCTCACTCACCTGCTTGAGTTCCCCATGGGACAGACAAACCCCAAGCTCAAAGCTGCAAGAAGAGGGGAACAGAATTTTCTCAGGCTTTCGCCAGTAGCATAGGAACTTCGGAGTCAGCGTCAGGATGCGTCATCATTAGTATTTGGTTGGAGATGCACAGCTAGCGTGCTTTACGGGATCTAGCCTGGCGTTGGTAGATTTTAGCTGTTTATCCAATAGAATCCCTGAATCTAGAGACTTCATTAGTTACTAGGTAGAAAACTCATCTAGAAAATTTAAGAAGCAGTATTCTCATGTAACAATGCTGTAGTGTAATTAAGAATGAAAGCTATCAAACACACACGTATGTATAAATATGGAAAGATGTTTTTTTTTCTTTTAACTGGTCTTGTGATATCATCTATTTAGATAGCTCAAAGATTAGAAACTTCCTCTGCCAATGCTGATCTGCACTTAAACATTAAATAGTTGCTAGAGGAACTGAGAAGTTAAAATGACTTGCCCAGGGTCGTATAAATACTACCTATCAGAGGCAAGGCTTGAACCGGGTATTTTTGACTCCCAGAAAAGCTGCATAACCATTATCTATCCTGACCTCCAGTTTGCATCTGCAACTGCCTGTTAGATATCTCTAACTGGATATCGCATACAATTATGATGCCAACATGTCCAAAATTGAACTCATTATCTCCCCCCCTCCAAGCCCTTCCCCCATGTCCTTCTATTTCTGTCCAAGGGCACCACCATCCTCTCAGTCAGCTATCATGTTCTTTTACACTCGAGTCCTGTCAACCTTGGTAACATTTCTCACATACACCCTGTTCTCTCTTCTGACACTGCCACTACTCTGGTCCAGGCCCTATCATTTATATCTGGACTTTTGCAATACCCTACTATATATCTCTCTCTTCATTCCAATTCATGCTCCAGATAATTATCAAATTGATCTTCCTAAAGTGCAGATCTGACCAAGTCACATCCCTTAAACTCCAGTATCTCCAAGATTCAAATATAAATTTTTCTGTTTGTTTTTTAAAGCCCTTCATATCCTGGTCCTTTTATCTTTCCAATCTCCTCACACTTTACTATCCTCTAAGTTGGCTGATTGTTGTCTTTCGTTCTCAAAGAGGACCAAAATGACATTACTATGTTGCGGTTAAAGTACTGTGTGTCCTACTGTGGTTTATCAGACCAATAATGAGCTTGGTAGAACACAAATAGTCCATATGAAAATTTGGAGTGGAGATATCTCTAAATTTGCACATCTCATACTTCTTTTGAGCTACTGCAATTCTGCTTTGCTCATAAAGCATAGCATTTTTTTGTTGCAGGGAAGCCACGCTAGCTTACTCTCCTCCAAGTCCTTTATGATTCGATGACGCTAACCTCTTTGTTGTTCCTCTCATTAGACACCTAATCTCCCAACTGTAAATTTTTACTGCTCATCTTCTATGCCTGGAATTCCCTTCATCCTCATCTCTGCCTCTTGGTTTCCTTGGTGAAACTCTTACTTTCTGCAGGAAACTTCTATCTGGTTTTTATATAGTTCTTTGCTTGTTGTTTTCCCATTAGACTGTGAGCTCCTTCAGAGCAAGGACTGCTCAGTCACTTTTCTTATCTGGGAGGTTGACTAATAAGAACAGCATTTCAGGTGATTATTACTGTTAACTTTGGGGTCTCGGGAGTTTCAAAGATCAGGTTTGTTCTAGTGGGATAATGTATTTCTCAGAGGTTAGTCTTATCAGAATATGCTAGTTGGGGCAGGAAATTTCTAAAATAGTGGAGGCCTCCTTCAAGATAGAAATCACTAAGGCTCATCTTGTCCTTGCCAACCTGAGGGACTCTATTTTCATAACCCTGTAGTTCTGTTTCTTTGATTTCTAAGCTTGTTTTTTTTTTCTGGGGAGATGTTTCCCCAAAACTCTACCTCCTCCATGCTAGGGATATTAGGAGAGGACAGTGGTGATGAAGTGCATTCCTCTCAAGAAGAAATACTTGTGCAAAAGCATGAAAGTCAAGAACATAACTTTCAGGCTACTTTAACTGGAACAGAAAGTGTGTCATCATCATCATCATCATCACCGTCATTGTCATAGTCATATTTATAAAGTATTTTAAGGTTTGTACTTGTGCCACCTAGCTGCCTAGTGCATGAAAGGGAGTAATTAGACTGGTGCAATAAGAAGACTCACTGTGGGACCTAGGGGGTACTGTGCCTCTCTTCTACTAAGGGGTTCCCCTTAACTTTGTACCTATGCACATGTAGTGTCAGTCATGGGACAGTCTAGCCTCTAAAAAGAGGAATCAAGCTTTTTTTTCCCCTCCAACTCTCTGAACCTCTACTCAAGAGGGCCAGAGGGGGAAATCACTTATTGCTTAGGTTTGGCTCATGTCTAGGGTCTCTCCAAACAGCAAAAGAGGAGTAGAAAAGTATCCAATGTATAATACAAATCATAGGACAGCTAAATATTTCCTCTACAAAAAAGAAATTAGTAACAGAGCCTGGTCAAAAATTCCAGTCCTTTTGAACATCTGAGTGGTGCTTGATGCAATCCCTACATGGTTTTTAGACACACATGACCTATGTTAACCAAAAATCACAACTTCACAGGATATGGTAGATCTTGTGATTTATCACAAGAGAAAGGCACATGCATGTGGGAACTCCTTATACCAAGGAAGGAGACCGTGATATAGGCAGACACTTGAATATTTACGGGTTACAAAAAAAGGAAGAGTCTCATGGAAGGAGTGGAGAGCGATCCCCTTCCAAATAGGAGTGGCATGGAGGAGGAATGAAATGATAGGGGAGGGAAAAGGGACCAGTCCCCTCCTGAAAGAGAGGAGAAAGGCTGAGAGAGGGAATAGGTCTATATCTATGATTCTATGATCTGTACCAGCTATACCAGTGGAGAAAAAAGGATCAACATGGAGGCAGGACTAGACAACTGATTGGATATGGGATTTGAGGGAAAAGAAACAAACATTGAATTCCTGCTTGCAGCATGAAGTTCATAATATTATGTTTTGTGAGGAAAGTGGTTACTTTTCATCTATAAGCTTTGAGATCACTAATTGAATGGGGAGTCTGGGAGCAAAATCCTTGGGAGAAAGACACCAACAGGCATGTTCTCATTTGCCTGGAGTTTGTCTGCTCTTAGGAAAGAAACCAATCAGCATTACTGTTGAACTGCTCCATTAGCAACAGTGTTTGAGATCCTCTATTTTTGGTATTGGAGAAAGGTCAAAAGAAAAGTAAGCACGTTAACTATCCTTTTTTATTTGTAATAAATGATAGGTTAAAAACCAGAAAACTGTTCCCAAGGAATTCTGGGTACTTTCATTTCATTCAGTGGTTCAGTTCAAAGCTATGTTACCATTGTCATGAACCCTTTGAAGAGTGAGAGTAATCTCAGAATTAGTCAGAAGCCACCCCATGGGTGAATTCAGAATCAGTCTTAGAATCAATTTGTTTAATGTCTGTATGACCCAAGACAGGTGAAGGGGAAATTGTGTGTGTGTGTGTGTGTGTGTGTGTGTGTGTGTATGTGTGTTTGTGTGGCCATAAATGGCTTTCACTTTGGACTCACATAGAGCTTGAATTTTTCCTGGGGCAGACAGAATCTGATGAGGGAAACAGAATTTTCTCACATTTTCTGCTTGATAGGATGAGACATCACTGATCCAGAGCGTACTCACTGACATGCTTGGAACCCAGAGAGAGGAAATCAATAAGGAGATGAGCCACTGGTGTTGAGGGGCAGGGCTTGATGTGGTTGTTATGGAGTACAACTGAAGAGTCCTGCATCACATCATTATAGCTCCCAAGTGCTCCTGAACTGAAATGAAAGGTTGTGAAGGTTGGGGTGTGCATTTGGCATACATGTCAGCTGGAAGGTACCCAAAGGCTCATGTATAGAGGAGAGATCACTGGGGAGAAAGGATCCCATTCCTGGCAGAATTCCCACCTCCTGATGGAAATGATCTGTTTTCTGTGGCAGCATCTGTGATTGTCAGAGGAGACTCTATGAGATGTACATACATTCAGAACCCCCTCCTCAAGCAAGAGAAGGTGGGCTGGATTTCCACAACAGGTTAGTTTTTTCCTCCACTCAGAAATATAACTATTGTAATGGAAAGTGTGTGAGTCTATTCCAACCTAGATCTTTGGGATGAACAGAGGTACAGAGCTGACACTAGGAGCTTCTTCCTTCTCCAGAGTAGCTTTGATGTTCCCCAGAACAGGATAGGCTGAAGGTTTATGTGTCTTATGTTTAATCACTGAATGTGACTATTCCATTCCAGATACTTTCTTCTAGAGGGCCCAGCTCTGGAGGGTGTGTTCCTGCTTGTTCTGGGACTTATTCTTGCTGGAGCTATTTATTTCACCTGGAAACAACATGAGGAAAAAGAGATGTTCTTTAGAGAAAAAGAGAATGCATGATTTAAAAAGAATATTGAATATGTGGAAAAAGGTAAAAAGCAAAGTGCAAAAACTCCTGAAATGGAGGGGAGTAGAGAGAGGACAGTGACAGAATCTAACACTATATTTCCAACTGTTAGCTAAGGAATGAAACCTCTCATCCAATATTGATTCCTACTCTACCACCAAACCAATTTCGACTTTCACTTCCCAGGCAGAAACCATCCTCATGTATCTATCTTTTTATGTTTCTTTTTCAGAGAAACTTCAGAAAGAACTCAGTAAATTCTGTCTTTTAGCTAACCAGGAATATGTATGCTTCTCAGCTGCTTGTGATGACTCATATCTTTGTTCTGTTAACAGAATGGAGAAATAGCTAGTGAGTGATTCTGATGCATTCTTGGAGACTGAAACAGAATCTTTTGTCAGGTGTGTCAAAATACAAGATATATATATATATATATATATATTTTTTTTTCTTTTAGGAAAAACTCTCTTCCTAATGCATAGGTATGCACATGACTTTCTGACACAAGCTTCTTCAATTGTTTTTCATTACCTAAGAAAGTCTTAACATTTGAGACCTTCAACCACTGATATGCTGAAGGGCAAAAGAGATTCTTGGATTGAACCTGAGTCTAGGAGAAAAACATTCCTAAAGTCACCTTGAAGGAAGACTACAGAATAACTCCAAAAGGCTTATCTGCCTCTT